CAGCCAATTTGGTGTTGCAGTAGCTTAAGTGTTTTGAACCGTTTTAGAAAATCTTATTGTCTTTGATTGCATCCAATCATCCAAAATCCCGGGGGGAGCAACCACAAGACACACACACATGCACACACACATGAAACTGCAGTGTGGCTGGATGGTCCAGCATGAACTGGCCCAACCTGAGCAGATTACAGCATATTAGGAAGGGGTGAGACAAATGATAGTGTGTAAGAAAAAAAAAAGAGGCTTTTGGTTTATTCTGCAATCAAGCAGGCAAGGAGCAAAAGGGCACACTGCAGTGACCAGGCACCGGGGCATTGTGGTTAGAGAGGAGTGGAGGTCTTCTCTGTTTTGACTGCCTTCATATTAAATTCATTTGCATCATCTGGAAAATACAACTGTGCTTGTATTGCCACTGTTACCATTACTATAATGCGATTAGCACTATTGTTTTTTGTTTGTTTGTTTTGTGAGCTCCGTCATTTTAATCATTTTGTTCCCCTGTTATAGATTTGTAGCCTTTTGTAGATGATTAGCTGTAATCCCAGATTTTAGCTGCTGAGTTCAGGGACTAAACATCATATGATTAACATTACAGTACACAGTATGATTATCAGTCTGCATGAAGAGTTTGAGCATAACCAGTTCAGGAAACATTCATCAGCATAATTTATGAACTTATATTTTGTCATGTTTTGTATCTGTTGTTATTAATTCCATGTTCATGTAAGTTTGGACAGGCAGTCAGTGTTTTTGTTGTCCTCTAATTCTGTAACATGAAACTTCATCTCTAAAAAATATTCCTTGTTGTTTGTGTGTGTGTTTGTTTGCATGCATGTTTGCGTGCACCACTGCAGACCCGGAAACCCAGAGAAAAAGAACTGTGCAAAATGTCCTGGACCTTCGACAGAACCTGGAAGAAACCATGACCAGCCTGAGAGGGGTGCAGCTCAGCCACAGGTCAGCCATACAAACACACATGCAAAGGCACAAAAAGGACTGGTTCAATAGAGGCAAAAAGAAAAGAAAAGGCCCACAAAAAACAAGCCAGGAATAGTTAGTTAAACAAAAGAACAGCGGCTGAGAAGGGCAGGTTCTTATTGACTTTGCTAACAGTGTGTTTGTGTGTGGTGGTTAACTGCCTGTGGCCTGTCAGATCAATATCGCTATTCCTGATAGACCAGTAGTCATTAGTCTCTTTTTTTCACCTGCTCTCCCTCTGCATTGGTTGATACTGAAGTGAAGGATTAGCTCATAGCTGACTTCAAAGCCTACCCTGCCAATGCACAGTCATGACTCACATTCACACACACAACAAGGCATATAATAATGCTCTGATTTACTGTGTGTGTGTGTGTCCTCTCCCTGCCTGTGCTTCCTATCTGTCATTCACTGACTTTGGTTGCTTTCAGTGCATCTTCAGATTTTGTCCTTGAGAGCTTCTCCACTGTCTGCTTGTCCATGGGTCTCCTGCCATGTATCATCTCTCTGTCCTTCAGTGGGAGCTCCCTACATTACAAGCAAATTAGCAGATGGTTCCCTACTGGAATATGTTTCCTTTGCCATTCATACTTTTATCGTAGTGTAATGGCCTTGAATAACACCCTGCTTTCCCCAAAGACATATATTCTGATTTGAGGTCTACAATGTCTGCAGAAGTTTCCTGTGCAAACAAAATGTCATATTTCCTATGAAAAACTAGTGAGAGAGCTGTACAAATGAAATAAATGGTCAGGGAGCAAGCAAACTGTTTTGTCTACACAAATTTTCTGCAATATACATTATATGCATTACAAGGCCAGTAAAAAATCCATTCTAAGATGACTGGTAGTATCCTCTCTCTCACCCTCACCCTCTCTCTACTTTCTTTCTGCCTGTTTTATGTTAGTGGTTAAGCCTTTCATTTGAAAATGTCTCTATTTATCCTTGTTGTGAAGATGATTCTGTATCCTGAAGACAAGACTGATGTTAACATAGCTGGCAAGTGCACATGTTGTCACACAGTGTGAGACCCAGCAACTTTTAATATGCTAATTCTCGTCATTCTCTCCCCAGGCACTAAGCAGTGACGTGCTCTGCTGCTTTAGCAGAAGGGGATGCATGTGATTCTGAAGTTAGCGAAGCTGGAATTAGTAGCTTCACACCAGTGTGTGCTGAAAATAAGTGACAGTGCTATGCAGTTTCACACTAAACACAGAGCACAGAGGAACATGAAGGAATAACATAAAAACACACATGCATTTCTTATGCATGTGTACAAATATACAAAGGCACCTGGATACCAACTAATCCCTGAGCCCTTTTAAAATCAGTATAAGACTTTTTACAGTGCGGTCTCTCTGAGGGAAGATAATGCAGGGCGGAGAGAGAAGACAGATGATTGGCTGGAGGAGGCATATTCTGAGCTTTACTGAGAAAGAAAGAGGAAATTCAAGACAGACATTCACTTCATGGCTGTGCTCAACTTTCTCAGCTCTTTAGGGGATCTCACTGCTGTGACTATTACACACACACACACACACACACACACACATATATACGTATATATGTATATATAGGTGTGTGTGTGTGCATACGTATGTATTTTCACCGCTTAAGAACTCTGAAACATGCCCTCATTTTCATTCCACAGCTCTGTGGAGGGGACCATGTGCTATGACAGCGATGAAGCTGCCGCTTTCTCCATTACCAGTCTATCAAATCGCTCCTCTCCACTGTCATGGCGCCAGGGTCAAGCCAGCCCCCGTCTGCAGGCTGGTGATGCTCCATCAACAGGCAATACCCAGTTAGATGTTCCCTTCCGGATCAGCCACACCTCTCGTATCCAGCTCATCGAAGCCTTGAACGACTCAGATCCGTCCCTCCTTAAGGGAGATTACCTCAGTGACAGTGAACTCTGTGGGAAGAGCCCAGAGGAAGATGATGAAGACGATGGTGATATTGATGATCTGGGGAATGGGTAAGTTATGTTCTTTTTTATTTTAAAACTGTGTTTTACCTGAGCAGCATATTTCCTATTTTATGATCCTGCAGGAACCAAGACACTTGTGTCTTATTACTGACCTTGTCTGTGAGGTGAATCCCTCAACCTGTCAACTTTTACTATACATCCCCACAGCTGCAGCCAGGCCTGCAGTTAGTTATTTACCAGCACAATAAGGCCTCGATAAGCCCTCCTGTAATGCATCACATGCCCCCCTCATAACATCTGCACTGACACTGACAGCTGTTGCCCCCCTGATGCCGTTGGCTCTGCCACAGTTAGGAAACAGCCCTGCAGCAGAGTCCATGAATGATATCACCATCATCAAGCTCCCTCACAGAGCTCATCCTGACATATTCAGCTGTGAACCCACCAGCTTTGTCTGCAGGATTCCATGTGGATGATCCCTTACAGAGTCGGCTCCTCAGAGTCCCCCGACAGAGCTAGAATATAGATGTATTTTGGAAAACCGGTGATGGCCAATGTGGAATCAGTCAGAGCTGTCAAGTTCAGAATGAGTTTTGTTTTAAATTAGCAATGGATTTCTTAGATGAAAAGATTTCATGTTGCGATGACATCAAAAAACAAAGCCAGACTTAGTTCAGCTTCAGAAATGATCATCTCACTGGCATGTTGGCTCTGTTGTGTAGTGATTGATTGTTACCCCGGCGGTAGATGTTTTGAAGCTTTTCTCCCTCTTATAATTGGTACATCTTCTAAGGTATTGCTTACACACACCTTTCAGTTCAGATCATACATCACGGCTGCCTGTCTACATATCTACGGCTGCCAAGCAGCTTATAAAAAGTTTGCTGTTGTCTCTAATTTCCCTTAGTGAACTGCTGAATAATGGACTACAGCTGAACAGTCCCAATCATGTTCATGGGAATGTGTTTGGGTTATTAATGACAGAGATGAGAGATCACGCTGGTACTGTAGCTGTTGTTTGTGTTGGAATTGTTGTTGTCTCTGTGACTTGGTGACCATTCAAGATGAATTTCAAGTTTCCAGAACGACTGAAGAACGATCTGAGTTGTGTTCCCTGGATTTTCTTGGTTAGTTTTGGAAAACTTGCAGCTCTTGTCCCAGTGCGAGGTGGTATGACACAATAGTTTTCACTCAGTTGCACAAACAACATTATATTTCACCGACCAACTCAAAGCACAGAAAAGAAAAACACATTATCTCATTGTAAGCTGTTCTGGCCACGGCTTGACATCTCCATGGCAATAACAAAAATGCACCCCCTTCACCAGAAAATCAATTGTAACAACAGTCTGGTACTGTCTATCTGGTCATGGCCTCAAATTCAGTGGTTAGACAGGTTTATATGTAAGGAGCCAACACAAAAGCCAGCATTTACTGATTGGCTAGAGGTAAAACTGAAAAAGAGATGATAGACAGGCAGGAAAAAAGCAACTGTAGCTTTTTATCTCTTTTTGCTTAAGATCAAATTATGTTTGATTTCATTTCTTTTTCTTTAAAATCTTCAAAGCTGCACTGGTTCATTCAAGGAAAGGAATATTGTGTGCTATCTAGTGTAAAGCTAAACAGTACCTCTCAAAGAAGTCATCTATTCATTTCTTATTTTTTGTTATTCTTAGTATAGCTCAATCAATGCAAAGTCTTTTAGACCAATACCGATTTCAATTGTGAGCTTGTTAATAATTATATATAAATGTTGTTTGTATAACCCATAGCATAATTAAGTTTCTAAAACATTTATATTGTTTTTTAACAACTGCCACCAAGACAGTTACAATTTAAGCAATATAAATGTACCAAATTATTAACTTATTATCAAAACTGTTCTCCATTATTTTTTTCTGTTCACTAATTAATAGACTTATCACCTGCCTCAGATATTTTCCTTTACAACCATTTGACCGTGGGCCACTAATGTGAATTTGCCTGCAGCAGCTTTACTCTGATATGCTTATAACACTAGAGCGCAGGCTGTGCTGCTCTTTCCCCTTATTTTGCTCTTTTCACCCTGTGAGCTTGATATGCTGTAGCCCCCTGCTGCTGTACTCTCCCTTATCTCATAATTTATTACACATCCTTATCCATTATACATACAGAACATACTCTACACTGCCATATGTGTTCTCAGCATATATAATACATCAGATTTCCTCACATACACATTTGCTATTTGGGTTAGACCTCATCTCTTTGTTCTGTTACGCATAAAAGAAAACAGTGTCTTAAAATGCAAACGTGGTCGCAAACATGTATGGATGAGCAGGGGTTTACTCATTATGGGTGTCACTGTGACTCACTTGAGTTATATTGTATAGGCATGAATCACATACAAAGGTACATTTCCCATGACTCTACTTTGACCTGCTTCAGACCCTACACTCACACGCATTGAGTCAGGATACTTTATGTCAGTCGCACATTTCCTGTGCTTTTCTATCCTGGGCCTCTGCTTGTCTGAAGAGTTCCCTTTACATCTGGAACCACACACACACACACACACAAACGTCCAAATCCAGTTGCTTTCATGGTTGTTTCATGGAGGTAATAAAACTGAGTGGAGTTGGTGTGTGTGTATACAATAGGATTATATGACAAACCTGAATGAAGCATAAAGTCTACATTCAGTCAGTGTCTTAGCCTCATCTGGCCTCGATAGAGAGTATTGATTGGCATTGTTGTTTGAGTAGTGATAATGTGCTCAACATGCACATACACACGTGTTGATAATTGGGTCAGCGTGTGGCTTGTTTTCTGCCATGCTGGGCGCAGACAGTTTTGTTTCTGGATGGAAGAGCACCCATCCTCAGTGACCTCCCATTAGTAAACGCACAGTCTCCATTGTTACACTATGAGATAAGATGGTTCACTACACCAAAGGCCTACATTATGAAAATGTTCATTTGGAGCAGGGCAAACACGCACACATAAGCACATAATGTATACACACACTAAGCTCCCTGAAGCTTTTCAGAGTCTGCTGCTTTAAATCTTGTTCTGTTTGCTTTCTAGAAAAGCAGAAGTACACTGGTTGCAGTTCGTGTCAGTCAAGCACAGAGAACTGAAAGAGGAAGTTTTTATTATAGAAGTGATTCCTGGAATAAGGTTTGATGTCATTACTCACTTCTGCCACGTGTCTGCCTCAAAATGTTTGGCCGTATTCAAACAGCGGACATCATTATTAAGCCCTTGTCTGACAGCTGTCTGATAGTATCGATGGTTAAGTACTTCTAATTAGGTGTAACTCAGTAGACCTTGCCATTGCCTCTAAATCTTATCTCCAGTGTGACATGGCTTTAATGCTGAAGAACACACTCCTAGTTTATGTGTGTGGGTCTGCAAATGTGTGTGTGTGTGTGTGTGTGTGCAGTTTCTTTTCCTATGTCAAGCTCAAACATGCTGTACTCTGCCCCCATCTACTGGCCAAAAACTAGAACCACACACACTAAGAACCTTATTTGGCCTGACGTGTCTAATTAATGAATTCCTTTTTCCACATCTGGATCTGATTTATGTTACAGGTGACAGACCCACTCACTCATGTACTTAGTCACTCTCTCTTTTTCTGTCTGTGTCATGCAGACTCGCACACAAACACACATACACACACACCTTCTGCTGATGTGATCCTCAGTGGACACACCCATGGCTTCCCTCCTTGCTCAGAACCAGACCTTTACACTATGACTCAGACCACAGTCCAGTTACAGATCTTCTCCCAGTACAGTTCTTCACAGATCTGAAATGCTTTGATCACTTATGTTTTACTGCTGCATCTTTCCAGAATTTGTATCAAAACCTCTTTAACTTAACTTGACTTTAAGTTCTTTTACCTTCAAAATGACTCCGAACCCAGTTTTTCTGTATTTATTTTTATTTTATATGTTATAGATTATGGCACTAAGGGAGGCATGCATGGTTAGCACATATACTACTGACTGTTTTTGCAAACGTTTATTCCCAAGCAGCCGGTGATTCCATAACATTTCCATAAGGTATGGGCAAATTATATGGGCATATATTTGAAAACTGAATAATGGATCACCATGAACATTCAGTCTGCATATGTGAGTGTGGTGCAGCAACAATACAGACTTTTCAAATCAATCTGGACATAAGCTGCTTTAATGGAACAATAATGGAACTCAGAAAGCAACATTAAGGCAGTTCTAGTGTTTATTGTGGTTCATTACACACCTCAAACAAGCTTCAAGTCAGAGTCAGCCCGCTGATTTTTGTACCTTATGGAAATCCATAGAAACAAATGATTGCAGGAAGAGCAAAAACATTAATCAGACATTATATAGCAACTTTTATAAAATGGCCGTTTGTGTTATTAATTTGGCAGGAAAAAAGCTATTATGTTCTTTGTCACCGTGTCTTTCTCTTTGTCTGATTGACATAGTGTATCAGAGACAGCGTGATTCACATGAAAACCTGATGAGCTGCAGACTGAGGTGGTCTTCAGGTGGGCGATGGGGCATGTGTTGCCCTTGTCATCCACTACCTGCTCTTCTCTGGGCCTTGCTGGCTCTGTGCATGCTCCGGTCGCTCTATCTGCTCAGTGCCGCGTGTAATCAATTACATTCCCCGTCAATATTGAGGCAACTTGACTAAGTGGAAGGTCATGTTCTTTCTTTGTTCCAGCACTTATGGGCAAAACCTTAAAGAGAACACCCATGGAGAAAACACACACGCACACCTCACAGGTCTTAATTAATTAAACCATTCACCATGATCACATTAGCATATATGAACAGTCATATGGCGATTACATTAGTCTGTATTCTTCTCTACATGCAGTTTGTGAAGCTTTTCAGTTTCATTTTGAGTTAACACATGAAAGTCACACAAATGATTATTGTATTTAAATCATATCTTTCTGCTCAGTTTGTATTTAAGTACGTATATTGTAAGCCTATTTTACGTAGGCATGATGTAACTGGCTCCAGCTGTATCAGCAGGACGCCGCTGACAAACAATAATGACAGTAA